TCCCAGACATCCGTGTTCTAATGGTCAGGCAGAGAATTTTGTTAGGACATTAAAGACTGCTATTGTTTCTGTAGCCCCCTCAACATTTAATGAGCTGGAGAGGGGAGTAGATACCTTTCTATTGCAATATAGAAATGCCAAACATTCGGTGACGAAGGAGACTCCAGCGAAGCTATTGAAAGGAAGAATTCTTCGGTCGAATATGAGATGTCTGGAGTCTGCAGAGGTTACATACTATCGAGGAAATGATCTTCGACCATCTACGGGTATTGTTCTGAAGAATGTCGGAAAATCGATGGTGCGAATTCTAGACATCGATGACTTAAGTACACACAGTCGACATATAGATCAAATACAATTTCAGGAACCAGGTGAGTCAGTTCCAATTTCGATTGTTAATTCTAATGCTAATGAGCATATTCTAGATAATACAGAATCCTTATCCAATACAATGTCAGACAGACTCAGGATGAATTTGAGAAGAAGACGTACGATTGATTACAAACACCTAGACTCCAATTTAAGCTGTGGCGGATGTGGTGTTTGAATGAACCAATGATTCTTTTGTACTTGTTGAATGCTCGATTTCGAATTCTAAATACAGTACATTCGTTGTGCCTGTGTCTTCTTAATTCAATTGCGTTAATCCTGGAATTCCTAATTCATACGATAATTCGAATACTATACTTTGTCACTGAAAGCTGTGCAAATGAGATAGTAATGACCTACTTTTATCGAGAGAACGCGATTGGTGTAGTGGAAACAATTATTATTATGATCAATTATACCAAGGGTTGTTTTGCCGTACTTTTTTGTTTAACTGTACGGAAACACATTCTTCCGTTGATTGTGACCTTGCACAGGTCCGGTTACGCTCAGTAACCACACTTGTACTCCTTTGGCACGATCTCGGTATCCCTTCGATACCACGAGATCGCCAACAAATACATCTCGACTACAGCCACCAACTGTCTTCTGATATTTGGCTTACGAGGAATCTTATCGGTTAACTGGCACGTAGCCTTCCTGTAGTGGTGATCATAGTCAACCGCAACTTGACACCACACTACAACTTGTTCATACGTTTAAACTAACTCGGTTGGTTGATTGCAGATGTTTATAATAACAACGACTTTGGCCACTGATATTAAACCCTTCTCTCGAAGCACTGAGTTGACCTCAGAGAAATGTAGGTCCCAACTAATTTTATTTATACTCTACCGAATGATCTGGCCAAAAGGAACAGGAAATCCGAATACATGTAGTTTTAAAGAGTAATGTATTCTATACATACGATTCAGCAGCCAGATGATGAAAATGAATAAACATACATAGCTTGGAGAATATTGAAATTTGAAGAGTGGTCTTTTGATCGAAATCGGTGACGTCAGATTAACTCAGGTTTCATATTGAGCAAGCGATGACTATAAATATTAATCACTGCCACCATCATTTGCTTCCCAGACAGTTTTTAAGTCAGTTCAGTAGAAGATACCTGTCGATCAGTATTGTCGAATTCGACAGATTATAATGTACCTTCATGTTCAGTTATCTCTAGTGGATTTCTAGTATATTAACAGGGTCTCAAACTGCATATCTTCAGATCCTATTTTACCTGCTTTTGTGGCTGGTAGATATAAGGATGGTGATATCAACGAGAACAGAACAGATAGCCTGAAAACGTTAGGGGTTCAGCAGTATTTAACAATGCGTAACTGTCGGCCTGGGCTCTTTTAATTACATTTGCCCAAAGTAATTGAACGACGAGTTTTAGAGAATTGAGTGGGATAATGTTAGATTATCCGCAAAGTTTTAAAACATAACTTTTCAGCCAGCTAGGAGGTATTGAGGTTCCACTGCAAGCTGAAGTGGGCTTTCGTATGGATGCTTCCCCTGGCGTCTTTGTCGTGGCTCGAGATCTGACTACATTTAGATCGTACGATTGATTGTTATTGAAAAATATGTCTGTCGCCTATCCTCGTACATAATTAACTACTTACTTGGCGTGGATGAATAACGGGATTAAATAAGTCAAATATGAGAATGGATTTTTGAATATGTATATTTCATTCACTCAGTTGTTGGAACAGGTAATCAGGGAGTCGAAACAAAGAGAGGAGTGCGAGGCAAATTGGAGAAGGTAAGTGGGCTAACTCGATTTAATCAGACGTAAATCAATATTTGTAGCCAGATAAGAATAAGCTACAGACATGTGATGAATAGGATAAGATGCACACACATACACCCTCACCTAAAAACAATCAAAACAAATAAGGCAATAAGTAACAAGGTCAAAATTTGGTTTAAGAAGAATGGAATGATAACTTTTCTGGAAGATAGAATAAATGATGTGAGCTTAACATAGCACATGACGTTACACTATGTCCCAAAACTTCATCTAGTGGTGCTTGCAGGAAGTTCTGAAATGGTCAGGATCATTGTATAAAGTCTTCAGGCCAACTAGTTCGAAGGGAATATTTGCTACGTTGCTTAATCAATAGCCACTGCTATCATGTTCTCTGCTTAGTCTGAAGATGATGCGTATAAGCAGTGTTCGACAGTAATGTCTCTAATTAGGTCAGTAGTCAATTTTAATGGGAGGAGGAGGTGTATTTGAACTAATGATAGACATATCGTTTCTCATGTAAAACGAGCTGGTAAGCAGCCGTAAAAGCTGCTCAGTACGAAGTGCTTAAACGTAGCCTAGTGAAGACATCTGATAGAATGCCTCTCCCTGGGCCTGTCCAGTAAAACTAATAAGATCACTACCAATTTCACTGACTTACGGAGATATTCATTTTTGAGGTTTATTCATCTCCGCGGCTCAGGTTGGAGGAATACTACGCCGACTGCTCTTCAACTTATAATTGTGGTCTCTCAACAGTTCAATGAATTCCCGAAAAATTGAAGTCACCTATCATGAAATTAAGGATGAAGTTTGACGAGCGATGGATCATAAAACCTTTGAGCAGATGCAATCTGTCCTTCCTACAACGTATATACTGTATCCAAAATGGTCTCACAGAGCTGATTGCCTGTTAGCAGGTTCAGGTTTGATCAATAGTTAGTCATAATTTGGAACTCTCTGTCTCATACGATTAAACAGAGTTTTAATGGATGTTAAAAGAGGGGATTCGATTCACGAGTTAGAATTTTTTTCACTCACCATATCGTGCGACACTATTGAAACATCAGACTCAACTGCTAGGACCTAACGGCCCGATCAACAACGATGGCGACGCCGCCAACCTTCTGGCGGCCCATTACTCTCAAACATTTCAACCGGCTGATACCAACTTTATCGACGACAGTTTCATCTGCAATTCCACAGGACTTTCTGAAGTGGACCTAAGCGCTGACTTGGTGTTCCGGAAACTGCAGCACTTAAGACTTGACACTTCTCCTGGCCCGGATATGGTTCATCCTGCCATACTGAGGGAGGCAGCCTCAATCCTGGCAACGCCGCTTAGCGTGATGTTTTCACACTCGCTTAGCCGAGGCAAACTACCGGAAAATTGGAAGTTGGCTCACATCACACCAATTTTCAAAGGTGGTCGACGCAATGAACCTTCAAGTTACCGGCCGGTAGCTCTTCTGTCGTTACCTTCAAAACTCATGGAGTCCCTGATATGCGACGGTTTAAATGACTACCTACTGTCCTTAAATTTCTTCTCACCCCAACAGCATGGTTTCAGGAAGGGTTACTCTTGTATAACCAACCTGCTGACTGCGGTGGACAGATGGACAAGCATCCTCGATCGCAAGGGAAAGGTTGATGTCATTTACCTTGATTTCTCAAAAGCTTTTGATAAGGTTAACCACTTGTGTCTTATCAACAAGCTCAAACGACTAGGTATCAAACCACCTCTAATCGACTGGCTTACTTCATACCTAAAAAATCGACACTTTAAGGTTAGGGTTAATTTCACTTTATCTCAAGCTATGGAATGTCCTAGTGGGGTCCCTCAGGGCTCAGTACTAGGGCCTCTTCTCTTCTTCATCTACATAAATGATCTTCCTCAACAGGTAACGTCAGACTTATTACTTTTTGCCGACGACGTGAAACTTTGGAGAGAGATACGCAACCAAGACGATATACAGGCACTTCAAGAGGATCTGACTCGACTTCATAGTTGGGCAGACGATAACGGACTTACCTTTAACACTTCTAAGTGTAAAGTAGTCCATCTGCGACATGTCGCAAACTACAGTTACAACTTAGGAAACTCCTCTCTAGTAGTATCCCAAGTCGAAAAAGATTTAGGAGTCCTGGTGCCCCATGACTTAAAGTCTTACGCTAACTGTGACAAAAATGCCTTCCGAGCAAACCTTGCACTGGTAACGTTGAGGCGCATTTTTGGTCAGTTTGACGGAAGAACTTTCCACACAATCTTCAATAGTTTCATCCGTCCCCATTTAGAGTACGGAAACATAATACTCCCCCCCTCACTCCAAAAGGATAAGGTCACTTTGGAGCGTATCCAACGGCGAGCCACGAAATCAGTTCGAGGACTCAAATCTAAGCCTTACGAAGAACGCCTCCGTTCACTAGACCTTTACCCACTAGAATATAGGCGTCTTAGAGGTGATTTATTAATGGCTTATAGTATTCTTAACACTTCTGGACATCCTCTTAAACACCTACTTAAGCTTAGTTCGAACAATAACCTAAGGGGTAACACCCAGAAACTGGAAACACAACATAGCAAGACGGAATGTAGACACAACTTCTACTCCTTAAGAGTTGTCAAAAGCTGGAACTCGCTGCCGGCCGAGCTAGTCCAAGCGACTTCTCAGGAGTCCTTCAAGAGGCAACTTGACCTATTCTTAAGGACCAAGGACAGCATCGCACTATGATTTACCAATTTCTTTTCCTCTTTTATTGTTAACATACCTAGGTTCCTGCCTGGAGGATTTGGTGATCCCCTGCTACTAGACATGGAAGCCTGTTAAGCGAAAGCTTCTTCTATTCCGTCCACAACCATTTGAACCATTTGAAAGTTGTGAACAGTTTTGAATCTGATCGGTACGTGTATGCGGCTCATCGTATATAACCTACTCAGGATTTCACGCTATACAATCCTGGTTTTGATTGGTAAATCGTCTTGATATTGAGCTTTTCTTCTTTACAATTGCATTTGACTAATCTCGGTATCAAAATAAAAGTTCATGCTCCCTGCTAATTAATTTTCTGGCCCACTCTCTTTTACAGATTTCTCTACCTTCGCTCTTCGATATACTCTACCAGCAAACAATATAACTTCAGAATAAGCACACACTGTTCCACTTACAGTTGTCAAAAAAATGGGAGGGCTTCTATCCTCACCTAAAACTGACAAATACAATGAAACTGGTTGTGGCAATGGACTTCGATACGGGATCTCCAGCATGCAAGGGTGGCGTCTTTCAATGGAGGATTCTCATTGTGCCATAACACAACTTCCTGGGAATCTTAAGGATTGGTCGTTTTTTGCTGTTTTTGATGGCCATGCTGGTGCCTTGGTATCAGAACTCTGTGCCACAGAGCTGTTGAAGGTTTGTCGCCTATTTGCGTACTTTGTGACATTAAATTGTTGTCCGGATTCGAATTCAGCCTAGGATTTGAGGTTCCGTAGACTATGATCACTATTTAAGTAACCAAAGTTTCAAGATGCTATCCTTTTTTGAAGATAAATTTTGATTTACGTGCTTACCTAATAAAATTGTTCAATACCTGGTATGTATATTTGACTTGTAAACATATTCGTTTCTGGAAAGCAATGAGAATTAGGGACTTTGTCACAACCCATCCACTTTTTCCATTCATATTATGTCCTCTGTAATGACATTGTTGATGGCTCGAATTCGCTTCATTATGCATATTATCACCTATCCAATATTTCACACTTCTAAAACCCGTTGGTTTATCTTCGTGGATATGACAGCCTTGATGCTTGTCTCCACCAGTTAACCTTTCCCTGGGTTAGGGATAGGGTAGTAGGTAAAGCTAACGAATCGATCGATGAAATAGCGAATTTTCAACCGAGATGTTTGGGGCATGTTTCGCGTATGCCCAATCCCGCCTATTGTCTGGAGGAGTAGGCTGCAAGAATGTTAGGGGTAGCCAAACCTGGACATGGCATCAGTCTATGAAGTCATTGACAATTGGACCTAGTCATGTTAATGGATGTAGACTACCTAGTTGAGTTCCATGTGATTATCGTAACCAATGGTTAAAGACTTCGAGTGAAATTGCCTAAAGTCGTTTCCAGCGGTTCGGGTGCGTCCATCATTCGTCCCCTCCCAGATTTTAGGCTTCTGAATTCTTCATAACTTTCCTTTGTTTTCATTTCACAAACTTATATTTTCTTATCGAATCGTATCTTCGATGCTTAAACTTTCCTATTACCATTGGTACTGTAGCTACCTTTACTATTCTGTGGTTTTGTCTGACGACTCCATCTCTGTGCTAATGAGGTATTTCAGCTTAAACCAGGCCCTACTTTGCGTATGACTAACCGACTCATCAAATCTCACTGCAAAACGAGATATGCGTCTGAGATGTTATGTTATTTGACTGTATTCCTGTTGAAGATCAATGGTATGATGATTTCCAAGACTTCAAATAATACAGCAGTTGATTCGCATTAATTTAGATAAAAGAAAAATCCATCGAGTCACTCACCGACGTTACTAGTAGAATTATTTGTCAAATACAGCAGAAACTCCGCAATATATTCGGGGTACTAAAGGTATTTGAAATTCCCAACCAGAACCCCACGTACAGCAGCAACAACCTGGCAGTACACGAAAGTATTCTTGTAGAAAAATACTTAGTACTCCTAGCTTGGTTGGCAAAAAACTCAAAGTATTTTCCGGGAGAATGGCTATTGATGCACTTCCGGGAAGTGTGCATTACGTTGAACAAGTGCATTCAATCGAAAACTAATAGAAAACCATACTTTACATGAGGAAAGCAACAAAGTATAGGCATCGTAAAATCCAACGATATTGATCGAGTTTGAGTTAGTATATTTCCCAATGTGGCTTCAAGTAAAATTTTTCTGAAAAATTCTTAACTGGAGTTAGATGTGTTTAACAGATTACAATGAACACGAATCAGAGGGAACATATTTTGTAGTGTCACGATGCAGGGGATTGGGGAAAAGTAGTCAATGTCCCATCTGAACTATCTGGTGTTTTTCGAACCTTTATTTGGCTGAACACTATGTTAATCATGACTGACTGAGGAACCTCTTTATTTGAATTATTGTGCTCTAAAATATGCAGATCTTTGTCCTTATATTTGAGTTAAGGAAGGCCTATGTGGTAATTATACACGATCCCATACGATTAACTCCATGAATTTGTAATAATAAGGGCAATTTCTCTTCGTCCTATTTTTTGTAGCAAATTCTATTACACTGCTCTTTGCTTATTAGATTAAATGTGCGAAATGCTTTTAGCTGTTATCGACAAATTTATCACCAACATCTCTTCAGTAGTTCAGTAGTCGTTCAATCGATTCATGGTCATTTAGGACTTTGGTAACGTAACAAAAGTCGTCTTTCGTTAAAATCTAAAATTTGAAGATAGTGTGGTTTGCCGTATAAGCTCATTTTATTCTGTTGATTTGTATTACCTTCTTTTCACACATTAATTCATTCTAATTAACTTCAAGGTGCTCAATGAATTAGTCATTCAACTGGTTTCATTATTTACCAAATAATATTCTGCCTTTTTTAGTGTATTGTGGATACTGAGGAATTCAAGAAAATCAATCCTGACTTGGCACCTAGTTTACAAGAAGTAGAACGTGGCATTCGCGATGGTTTCTTATCTTTGGATGATCGTCTTCGACACCTTCCTCAACTTGCTAGCGGTGAAGATAGATCAGGATCCACTGCTGTCTGTGTGCTCATAACACCTAAACATATTTTCTTTGCCAATTGTGGAGACTCTCGTGCCATACTCATTCGAAAAGGTAAAGTTGCCTTTGCTACAGTTGATCATAAACCTGTAAATCCAAATGAGAAACAGCGTATACAAAATGCCGGTGGTTCCGTTATTATACAACGAGTAAATGGTTCTCTTGCGGTTTCTCGGTATGTTGGTTATGGTTTTAAAAAATTCTCTGCTGCCTTTGTGTTTGTATACATGTATATTATAATTTGAGTGATTTTCAATGAAGCAACGGTTCAGCAATCTACAATATAACTACGTGAGGTCGCACACCGATTTAGCTAGGCTTAATATCGTGGTACAATCAAGTTGCACTCCTGAAACATATAATTTTTACTTGGATTTGTTGTTGAAGTTAATATGCACAGGGCATAGTGAATCGTAACTCAAAATAACAGTTCATTAACAGCAAAACTCGAAATTTACAATATGGTATTGAGTATTTAAGACAGGATATTTAATCTAAGTTTGTCTTTAATTGATAATGAAGGTTGATACAATGTCTCGGTATCTTTTGGAATCTCTTGAAATACTGTCACATTTTTATTTTAGTATCCCCAATCATTGCCTAATTCGAAGGGTGATATTTTCTGGTAGATTAGACTGGAATGATGTTAGGGGTGCCAAACCTAAACATGGCATTAGTCCGTGAAGTTGTGAGAGTATACTTTATGGACGAACTTTGAACGACTCTAAGGTGACCTTACTTACTGGGGCTAAATGAGGGTTATAAAGCAATGTGCCTGACCGTTGTTGCTACCTTGACGTGGTGGTCGGGCTTGCCTATCGTGATGAAGCAACCGAGCTATACTGGCTGGAACAACCGTTCCTCAAGGTCCTACCATGTCAGGCAGGTCGGTTAAAGAGCGGTAAGACTAAAAGCAACAAACCCGATGTCCGAATGCTAAGTCGTACTGCTGACTGTACAGAGGTGTAGCAGCACCAAGGTGTTTCCTTCAGACAACCAGCATGACAGCGATGCTGCCTCCCCACAAGGAGGGGTGGGGTTAGAAAAGGTCGACTCTAAAAATGCACACCTCGCCTTATCCCACGAATATCCGTCTCCAACGGTAGGGTCTCAACAAGTACGGAGCTAACACAAAAATTACCCATAAAAAGGTTGTGTGTGACCGACCTCAAGCAGTTGTCCCTTGGGCACTGCGGTCACGCTCTCAGGTCACTAAGACCACCTCTAATCCCATTTCCTTTTAAGGTACCTCCAGAACAACCCTTCCATGGTATGGGCAACCGGGAAGTGATAACCTCCCTCATACCTCTAACAGCATTCAAGACCACTGTATTCATAATCAACCTCCCTCTGACTGACTAACGGTGACAATTGAGATGTACTAATAGAATACTCGTTTGCTCAACGAAACTTGTGCTGTTGCTCGGGGGTTTGGACACTCAGTTTTAAATTGTTTGGATAAAAATTTAAAACTCTCATCTTCCTCCAAATGCCCTGGTATGGCTGAGGGTGGGGAGATCACGCTCACCCCTTCGAAATGCTTTCACGTGGCCACGTGCATATAACCACTGCCAGGAAAGTCCTACTTACTGCCTTCTCGCGGCGGGGGTGATGTTTACGAAGTTGAAAGCACCAAAAGCGAATGTGCGGCACTTTAAACAAGTTGGTGGACACGAAGGGTCCACCTAGGGGAGTTGGAAAACACTGTTTCTAAACCAGTGATGCACATGGGCTGGCTCCAGGATCCCGAGTGAACAAAAGGCGTATGAACCTATTGTTGGTCACCGGTTACTATGAGACTGCGTCTCCTAAATTTGCTTCACTGCCTTGTGGATCAGGCCTTCGGGTCAAGGACTCCGGTCGTAGTCCCATGGGAAAACCACCTGCTTCGGTTCAGGCACCTGAGCAGTATCACAGCCCTCACACAAACCGAATGGTGAAGTGTAGCCCACATGTATTTGGTGTCCCCTTGTACCAATATTTATGTTTAAGTAAATAAATAAAAACTCCTCTCCAATTTATTAAGGTTTCTCACATTTGATTGCCATGATTAATCGTCATACCGTAGATGTGACTCACTTTTTGACAGGAGTACATACCTTAACATTCTGGGCAATTAATATTTTTAGCTAAAATTTTCAGTGTATCTTTTTACGCGATTATTTTGAAGTTATGTTTAATCGTTGTCATAATTCTTAATTTTTTTTAGATCATTGGGGGATTATGCCTTTAAAGCTGCTAAAGATTTAGGTCCTACGGAGCAACTTATATCCCCAGAACCTGAAATCACTGTTGTTGATCGTGATAAAGATTTAGATGAAATTATCGTTTTAGCCTGTGACGGTATTTGGGATGTTTTAACTAACGAAGAACTTTGTTTACTTCTGCAAAATCGCATGCGATGTGTTGATGACTTATCAATGATATGCAATGAAACTATTGATATGTGTTTGTATAAAGTGAGTTTTTCCCTTTAATTTTCAGTCATTTGAATGTCGTTTCTGATGTTGATGTGTGTGTAAAACTGCTGATTTTGTATTGTTCAATAGGGCTTGGTTCGGTCTGTTTAATCTTAGTTATTTTTCAAAGGTAATTAAGTATTTCTTTTTTACTGTCTCCAATCTATATATCGTGATTTTCATTTCTATCGTCATGCGAAAACAGTCACCAGGCTGTATCACTTGTTATAACATGAACAGTGCGATTAGATATAAACCTGTACCTGGTAAATGAGTCATAAATCAAGGTGATGATAGATAGTGGATAAATTATTAAAAGTTAAAAACTTATGGTAGTGATTTACTCTTTTTTCATTAAAAACAATCAAGAGAAAGTTAAATACGACATACCATCATTTTTCAGTCCTCTTTTCATATGTTGTAGCAATTCATTCGGTTGGTAATTAGACAATGTAAACTAGTCATAGGAAATGTTTGTGTTAAGTAGCTTACTTGCTTACTTACTTACGCCTGTTACTCCCAATGGAGCATAGGCCGCTGACCAGCATTCTCCAACCCACTCTGTCCTGGGCCTTCTTTTCTAGTTCCATCCAATTCTTGTTCATTTTTCTCATGTCTATCTCCATTTCTCGGCGTAATGTGTTCTTTGGTCTTCCTCTTTTCCTTGACCTTCAGGATTCCATGTGAGGGCTTGTCTTGTGACGCAGTTGGGTGCTTTCCTCAATGTGTATCCTATCCACTTCCAGCGCTTCTTCCTGATTTCTTCCTCCACTGGGATCTGGTTTGTTCTCTCCCACAGTACGTTGTTGTTAATAGTGTCCGGCCAATGGATCTGAAGTAGTTTGCGTAGACAATTGTTAATAAACACCTGTATTTTCTGGATGATGGCTTTCGTAGTTCTCCAGGTTTCTGCCCCATACAGTAGGACTGTCTTGACATTTGTATTGAAAATCCTGACCTTGGTATTGGTTGACAGTTGCTTTGAGCTCCAGATGTTCTTCAGTTGTAAATATGCTGCTCTTGCTTTGCCGATCCGCGCCTTCACATCTGCATCAGATCCACCCTGTTCATCACTGATGCTGCCCAAATACGTAAAGGTTTTTACATCTTCCAAATCTTCTCCGTCAATTGTGATTGGATTGGTGCATTCTGTGTTGTGTCGGAGAATCCTGCTTTTCCCTTTGTGTATGTTGAGACCTACTGCTGCTGAGGCTGCTGCCACACTGTTCGTCTTCTCCTGCATCTGTTGTTGCGTTTGGGATAGAAGGGCCAGATCGTCTGCGAAGTCTAGATCATCCAACTGCATCTTAGATGTCCATTGTATCCCGCGTTTCCTTTCAGACGTTGACGTCTTCATGATCCAGTGTTAAGTAGCTAAATGAAACGAAAATTTTAGTTGGACTCAAATCTAAACCTCTGCCGTTTTCCTTTTTTGGAAAGGTAATAAAAGCGGACATATAGATATACCCTTGTGGAAAAGCTATGTAGAATTTAAAGTTGATTCAATTCCAACGGTAGGATCAGTTGTAAACAACAACCTCCATCTGGAATCTGAGAGTTTACTTACTGCCGCTGTATCTTTTCCTCACTGTTAAAACATTAGTTCATAGACTTATATAATTGGAAATGTTTATAGTATTGATGTGGTTGATGTTTCTTGAACCATTTGCTTTCGACAAGTAATTATGGCGTAAGAAATGTTTGTTATTTGTGATTAATTTACTGGGACACACTAACTCTGTATAGGTTTGTGTGTTCGACTTCCAGCCACACGTTTTGTTTGAGAGATAGTTAAACATATTCACTCATGCCGTAACATATGTGGTGAGCATTGACCTTGAAATCCGATGGTTTAGACTTAATTGTTTTAAGCACCAAGCTACCATGATCTGTACTGTTGGATATAATCATGAAGCGAGCTCAAATTTTAATCATTACTAAGTCCTAGTAAATTTAGTCATAAAATCTTATGCATAAGATTGTTTTTATAGCGTATTAGATTAAATTGAAAATTATTATCAACATCTCCATAGAGTAGTCGTTATAAGTTAAGAAAAGAACTTTACGGTATAAACATGTGATTGCTATGACCATGTGTTTCACGTCTGTCCTACCTGAATTTACGGGTAATACATAGCAATATATACATGATTATATCATGATACTTAACGTAAGTTATTTACGAAGAAGAGGCTTATATACTATTTCTGTAAAGGCTACTGATACTATCCGGTTGCCCATGCTGATTTGACAGAGCTAAAATTAATCCCATTAGAGCGAATGACTTAGAGTTATTATATTCCTCAATCGTTTATTTGTCAACTGGCTTCTAATTATATTCCTGTATTCATTATTTTGTAACCAAACGTGTTGTATTATTAAAAGAGGAAACTTATTCCAATGAGCAGCTGTCTATTCTTCTGATATCAGTTCAATTATTGGGGGTCTTACGTCTGTAATTCGGTCTCGTAAACAATTATCACTCGAGTTCATTGTCTAATTGGATATTATCAACTAAGCGACGTCTTTCGTTCTCTAATTTAACAGTCCTCAAACGAATTTTCATTACAAATCATAAAAAGTTAGTCCATAACACATGTTGAAGTATAGTTGAATTCGAAGTTAAAATCTGCTGATTGAAACTTGAGTGGTTTGATCACTAATAGATCGTCAGAAAGTGTGTGGTGGAATTTATATGTCTCACAACATGAAACACCTTGTAGCTTTATGAAATCAGCTATACTTTTTGTGATTGATAAACTAGTGAAAACCAACATTGTTTCGTTATCACATAGACTGGTCAATTGGTTTATCACTTATTTACAAATTCTACAATTTTTATTTTTTTATTTTCCCTTATTGAAGGGGAGTTCCGATAATATGAGTATGGTTCTAGTGGCATTTGATCCTGCTCCTCGAGTAGATCCTACTTCTAAAACGGAAGATGAAAATTTAGAATCTGTTTTAGTACAACGTACTAAAGGTAAGACGTTGGTGCTATTGCTTTATAATATTCTGTTATTTATTCGTCAGTAGTTTAGGGGATACTTGTCACTCGAATGTCTATGCTCTTATTTTACAGTAAGTTTTATCACGCTTGATGCGTAATGGTTATGCATCTGTAGTGCTCCTACCCAAATTCCAATATTTGATCTGAACATGGAACTAACGAACCAAAATTTATTGGATTAGAACAAACTGCGTTCTTCTGTATAGCATACTAAGCGCCTTTGAGTGACTCGTATTAAATTATATCAAAACACAAACTCTTTGCTCAATATAAACGGTTCTAATTTGAGAAAAAACTATCAAAAGTACAAAACACCTCAAGCGGTACAGCCTGTGCTATATAGTCAAAGGTTTCTCTATCACAAAGTAACGTGTTAAACAGCAAAATGAATAGTTAATAAACAATATTTCGATACCTGAGAATCAATAAAAATATTCCCAACAAAATGGGATCAGATATCTATCGTCAAGGCTTCCAGTAACTTTTCAACGCAGACAGTCAGGTTAACAATCATACACTGAACTACGCCGCGACATTGAGTTTAGTCAAGCACGACATTATTGCCAATTGTCCGACAACATGCAACAGTAAAATTGAGTAATGAGGTAAATCTCTAACCAAGATCAAATAGAAAGGTCAAGACAAGAAAGACTGAAGAACATAAAGTGTGGTTAAAAGAGGCCTGAATAAAAGTTAGAATACAGGACAGGGAAAAGGAACAAATGAATAACAACACTGCCCAATAAAATGCTTTGGAGGGATTTTCAGAGTGTTCTTTCCGTTATAATGAATGTTGTTCACCTAGAGAAAAGAGAACTAGTGTTGATTACATAAATATGTAAAGCGAAATTTAAATGTTTATGTTTTGGGATTCTTCGTAGTACTGTCATCCTGCCTACCAACTGACTCACACTCACTTATACAACAGCGTTTTAGAACATGGACAAATTTGCCTGCATTTAATCTCAGATGATACATACTATTTCTTACCTCTATGTAAAATCCTAATACATATTTGGTTGTATGCAGCTGGTGAGAAATCACGAAATATAGTGAATTCATATTATTCTGTATCTATATTTGTTCTGGCTTTATTTAAATTCGTAAAGGAAACTAACTGCTTGAAATCTCAGATCTATTATTTTACCTGATGGTAACACTTGACCCAGTCTGAGTTATTTTGCTGATGTTTGTTATTGAATTATTTATCAAAGAAGCTCACAGATCTATAGAAAGCTAGGATTTGAATTAACCATTTGAAGCAATGTTCGTCAGTGCATCTCACATTTCTTAATTCCTATTCAATTTTGTCATAAATATTCTCTTAAAGATAACTCTTCATTTGATCTTTCACTGTTTCGTCTCTTAAATAGAAAGTCTTTCATCAGCTGTGAGTAGTTCACTTATCATGTAGTTGTGTTTGATGAGAATACTATTAATGGTGCACTTGCAATAATTTTTATAATCGTGAATTTTCAAAGCTATTTTATTACTTTTGGACTATATTTCATAAATGTGGTTTTCCTCTACCGTCCAAACACTTGGAATTTGAGGCTTTATAACCTTTAATTTTTTTTTCACTAGGATTATGCAGAAATGTTAATTAAAAATTCAAGCTATTGAATTCTTCGTCTTTGTACACTATCTGTAACTTGAGAATATAGATTGATAATATTTGAGGAAAGTCTTATTTTCCTTAGATTTCAATTTGAAAATAGTTCTTCTGCATAATGATGTTCACGACAGTTGGTTGCAAGTTAATTCATAGTAATCGAATCTGGGAAAGTGTTATTCAGTACACCAAATAATGCAGCAATATAGCAAAGCAAGAAAGTTCATGTAATATGAAATACTACTTACTTATTGTCTAGCACAATCATCAATTATTAATAAGTGATCTTTGGTAACTTTGAGATGTATGTGTCACAGATTTTCGAAAGAACTTTAGTGTGTCAGCTCAGTTTTGCGCACCGATGAGAGCTAAAAGAACGAGTTAAGCGATATCGGTTAATCTAAACCATGAAATTCCAACTCAACAACCGAATAGTGTCATGCTTATTCCGAGATTCGTTGGATTAAGATTTTGCCTATTATAGAGTCATTAGTAGACGAAACGGCTGTTCAGTTCTTTTTAACTGTTAGTGGCTTTTACGAATTATGCCGATCCACAGTGAAGTCTACCATCAAAATGGTATCCATATTATAAGCTTATTTGCTAGTCCTCTTTAGTCTAGTCACAAATGACCAGAGGGTCACTAGAGGTTCTTTCACCAAGTAGCGGATTGGTTCAACCATGGATATTTCAATTGATTGATTACAGATTACACTTTAAAGTGGTTCATTCAAACAACAGACAAAAGATGTGACTTGAAGCCTAGTTTAAGAAGTTGCCTGCATAAATTGCAAATATTTTGCAAATCGGAAATATGAAATCTTACGTGTATGTAGTTTGCATAGCTTTATAATACTAACTAAAGCGATTTAGTTTGTGCTATGCGTATAAAATCAAGTCAGTTATTTGTTTTAAATTTGTAGTATAATTCCATTTCACTAAAGTTCTACATTCATTTCTTTTCTCTATTTTATGTATATAATGGAGCTATTTTCACTTTTCACTTCCGGCTTTTCCGCATTATAATTTACTCTTTTTTTCCAGTAAATAATGTGTCTAATTGTTAAATGCTATTTTCTTTGATGTATACAATGAATATCAGTGACAAGAAAGCTTTTATTTGCTTTGATATCAGTGATTAAACTATGCATAGTGTTTGGTTTTTAATTTTAAATTTGTTATTTTTCCTGATGTTTATCTGAAAGGACTATAATTTCCTTTTCTCATTATAGAATTTTTGGAAAAGCATAGCAAAACTGAAGTAACAACTGAAATGGTTGTAGAAGATTTACAAGCATCTGTTGGCAGTTTGCCATCTTCTGGAAATTGGCTTTGCAAGTAAATCCCTTTCTGTACTTTGTTTTTTTCAATGTTATTTTATATTTTCTTCTTATCGGTATTATGAAATGAAGGAGGTACATTTTCATGCGAAATCAATATTGATTCACTGAACATTTATCAATCCACGATATTAGGGCAGTTAAATTATAACATTGAGACTTGATTATGGTTTTGTAGACTGTGATGAAGAAACTAATTAGTTGGGAAGGTCTTGATGGTTCTTATCCAAGATCCAACTTTCTAAAACTGGGAAACAATCTGTCAGTATTTTTACTTGTGTTATAATTTTAAAATAATATTGACTTATAGAGTAAATAACTTCTACGCTTTTTTAAATCAGAAGTCCGATATATATTCGTGAGAATACTTAGAAAATTCACTGGGGATTGTTTATAATATACTTTATTCATCATGTTATACGATCTAATAATCTTCTAATTCATTGACCACGTACAAATATATACACACATAGTTCTCTAAATTCTACCAATACTACCTATTTGACCGAACTTAAGAATATGTGGTTGGCTTCAAACTTGAAATTCGAAAGAATGAAAATAACAGTCATCGTTTTTTCCTTGAACAAACAAGTAAGTAATAAATGGGAGAGATTATCTGGTGAAAGTCAATATTATTAGTACTTGGAGTTTCGTGGTTTATGTCATGTAATGACTCTAGGCAACCGTTGAAAACCAGGGTGTTTTGTTTGCAGCAGTACGCATTCAAGACCTCTCACGAGATGGAGCTTAAAAACCGCAGGTCTCTCAATGATAAACTTTTAGCTTTTAGAACATTGGGTTCAGCTTTGAACAACAGCCCATTTGGTTAAGATTCAATTTGCATTTAGAGCTTGAGTCAACTCGCTTTATTGCTCAATCATCATCCACTCAACCCCTTTGTTGGATAACTGCGTCATCTTCGATTTGGTTGAGCTTCACTCGTCATGGCTCTTCGCTAAAAACCCTCAGGGTTCAATTGATGGGCACATGCCTCCAAGGAATCTCATTTTAGGACGAAACAGTTGTCTAAGGTTTTCCTGGTTTCCAACTAAGTTCCGTCCGCGATGTAAATCACGAAAAAGCTTTCTTCGTATAACTGGTGTTTTATGTATGTTATTCTGTGATCGTTAGTCATTTTTGTTTGTGGTGGAAAATTGGTATGTACGTTATTTCGGTTGGTAATTACTTTGTTTAATGATTAGTTTTGAAATATTATTCAAGTCAATTTTAATGTATTTCAATGCAGTACTAATCTGTAAGTATGCATGGTTTGGTGATGGAAAGGTAAACTGCTTCAAGCTATTGAGTTACTTATTTTGACATTTGGATGAATTGTTTCGTTTTGAATACAAAATTAAGACATTATGTGAATTGAGAGATTGTTCAAACAATTCGATTGATTGTACGTCGTATATTTATTTATTTGACAAATATTGTAAGAATGTAAATAGTTTCTCCAGTAAAAATTGATTTTAAAGCATATGTATTCAAGAATTCCCTTCTTCTGAATAAATTCAAAACTCCATTCCAGTAAAGATGAAAGCAAATATCTAGTTTGTCGAAAATATCAGCAAATTCTAGTGATTACTAATTCGTTAAACTCTGCAGAAAACCTGAAACATCAACCTGGTATATCCTAGCGGAGTCACATGACGTAGTTAGTTTTGTAATTCAGATTCTTAAAAATTGTCAGAATTTAGTGTGGTTCACATTCAGTTAAATAAAGTTAATTTGGATAATTATTCAAACTACAGAAATTTGTAAGTATAAAATGGGAAATATAACTATATGAAAAATATATGATTAACTTAATGCAAAGTGACTTATCTTTTCAATTCGTTGTTTTTCTCTTCTTAGGATTGGCAAAATACAAGAACTGATTGATTCTCATCGTCTGGCTTATTCAAATCGTGGGATTGAGAACCGATGAACTCATATACTCTCTTATCCTTCATTCTCTCATCTTTTTTATTCTTTCTCTTAAATGTATCGACTGCTTGTGTTACGTTTATGCTTTGTATGTATGTATGGGTGTTTGTAAATATGATGAATATACTTGAGCTAATCTACTCTTGTCTGATTTTCATATGCTTAAATGAATATTCTTAAATTGTTGCTTATAGATCTAGTCACTCGCTGTTTAATCAATTGATGGAAAGTTGCTAATGATGATACTATAGGGTTTGTACATTTCATCTTGTTGAATTATATTCATTTCCATTTCCAATCAATATTTCCGTCATATATATATACTTCATGCTCAATATATCTTTATTTTTCTTCCTTTCTATTCACCGAAGTATGTGTATTATCTTCAGTCTATCAAACGATAATGTGCAGTATTATATATATTTATATATATATTTTTTCTCTATCTCTTCATTTTCTTTTCACATATTTGTGTAATATATTTCATGTGGTTTCATTTGATCCTAACAGTAGTAGAATAACGGTAATAGTAATAGTATTTATGATTATTATTATTTTTTATGATACTGTTGAATTTGTACATGATCAGCAAAAAGAAAAAAACACAAGTTGGTACTGCATTTATTTATTACCATTTTCATATTCATAAATTTATAGTTTTGAATGAGGCTAAATTGTGTTTTTTTGTTGCTACTTAGTAATTAATGTTGATGTTTTGTTTCACTCATGTTAACGTAATTTCTATAATTTGTTTCTTTTATGTTGCTAGAGGAAAATTAACCCAGAGATATTCAATATTATGTTTGTGTGCGTGTGTGGGAATAAATATGAATCTAATCATTTCAAGTCAAAGATATTTTTCTTTCTATACAAATAAGTCATTCATTGGTCTCAATGTTGTCTCATTTAAATACGGTTATGAGCACTAGATGATCAATAATAATACAAATAGTGTTGAACATAAGAATTATTGAATATCCGGTACTGTTTATTCTTTTATTAATTATTATTTAGTAAATATGTTTACATATACAGAGGAGAGTATGTAGTTATAACAAACTGAACAATACTAGCCATGGGTTTACAAAAAAAAATGAGTAGGTCCTATATTGTGCTGTTTTTCCAATGTTGTACTCAATAAATATGTATCTTCAATATGATAATATTTTGATGCACCAATGCCAACTTATATGCATTTAATTTGTTGATATATTTTTCTTTTGTTTTTTTAAATATTTATTTACATTGTTATATAAGATGATTAATTAATAACAAACTGTATGTAACAGAATATTTGTATTTGTAGTAAGCTATTTGTAATCAGTTTTCAAGATGAAAACTGTTAATGTTTCATTAAAATATTCGTTACGCGTAAATTTATTCACATTAAACATGTGTAACAGATTTTCTTTTTGTTTTAGTGATATCTGGAACCTCGTTCATTTTTATGCATAGGTGGTTTTTCCTTATATTGGGCAGTTCAAAGTTTCTGTTAGTTTTCATTTCGTTTAATTCAATTAAGAATTTCACATGAATTTAGGATATTAATTCGTTTAGTTGGTAATTACATAGTCGTTCAATGAATTTATCATTAAATGGTCTGAATCATAACAAGACAGCTTAGTGCTCTTTTTTTTCAATAAACAGATTTCACATTGACTAGACTTATATACTATCAAGAATAACGATAAGTTATCAGCTTTTCAAGTTATTATATTGACTACTAAAATTCCTAGTTATATCAACTGCACTGAATATTCAAAGATAAAATTAAGTTATTATTTACTGTACGATATTTCTGTACTTCACCACATACGTGCAAATAAAGTGACCATGTAGCATGAAATAGTTAAGCCAGTTTAGTGAATTCATGATGAGAGCTAAATACAATGTCTAATATTACGAATAGAGAAGAGTTATGAAAAGAAATAGGTGTTTTTTGGAACAGATTATTTTGAATTTGTCATTTGCATCATGTTTTAAGTTTGAGTAAAATACCATTGATAACCTAGAAGCACTAGAAGGCTATTGTCTTCTATTATAAGACTTCTTTTCACTGACCATCTACAACTCTTCCAGGAATCAGACAGAAGTTATCCAGACCCCACAAGATATGAATTATCTTCAAACCAGAGATGACAAATAGCTTTCGTATTTGTATACTTATAAACAAACAGTATGAAGCTTAGAAAGCTCCTAGTAATCTTTATTAAATGTTGAATTTCATAAGAATACATTTGTGATGCGGAGATATTATACTATGAGAAATAACGATTTTCTTAGTTCCATCGACTATCTTTGTTTTCGTATAATACTACCTAGTATTCATTCAACGAATTGTTTTTTAGTTGATTGCTTTTGTTTATTGTCCAGTAATTAGTAATAGGAAAATGTTATACAATATTCCACAATAATGTACATTAAGTTCAAGAAAGAAATATCTAATAACTGTAAGCTACTGACAAACCGAATCCACGAAAACTCATAATATAAATCTACTGGGTTTTTTTCCATGGATACATTCTCCATCTGTTTAATCAGGAAATTAAGCTTTGAATAATAATAATAATGTCCTTTTGGAGGATTTTCACACACTTGTATAAACACTTTTCTTAATAATCCATTGTCAAATAAGTAAAAGTAGATCGTTTGTTTCTCTATCAGTTGTCTATACCAGTATATTACATAATTCTGCTCTTGATATCAACAATTCACTATTCGAGTTAAATTGTATTTACTGTCATTTTCATATTGCATTATGATTTTTAATATTTTTGGCATATAATGTCATAATGTAATCCATAGGATAATAATCAATTAATAACTGATTGCAGGTGAATTCTAAGTAATTGATTATCGAATTTCAATAAATTATTTCACTTTAATCAGTCGATAATGGTATAAAATAAAATAATGAAAGGTTACAGTTTCAATTTAAATTAATGTGAAGAAAAGTCACAAAAAGAAAAAAAATAGTGTCAGCTCTAGAAACAAAAAAATGTTAAAGATGTATAGAAATTCATTAAAATGTGAAAAATAGAAAATGATAAATTTAACCGTTAACCTAAGTTTACTAAGCGTGATTTAATGATAACTAGGTTAGATGCTTATTAAAATTTTGATAAAATATTGTACTATACCATGCTAATACAATATTTAAAACAATTAACACGAATTGAGTATTATATATGTATATATTTCCGTTAATAAACACTTTGTAAAGTGTTAGTAACAAAAATTTTGAAAAAAATGAATTCAATTCATTTTGGCTATTCTACGTCTCACTGATTGAAATCATGAGTCAATTGGAGCTAGACCACCATGGAAAACCTGGAGTCACTGGACGGCCGTTTCGTCATAGTATGGGACTCTTCAGCAGTGCGCATCCATGACCATACACCCCGCGAGATTCGAACCCATGACCTACCAGTCTCGCGCCAGGCGCTCAACCAACTAGACCCCTGAGCCGGCATCCAACGGTGTTAATGTCTAACTTCAACCAATCCACGAAGTTGCGCCACCGTAAACCATTGTTTTCAGTGAGCTGATATCTCGCGGGGTGCGGGATCGTGGATGCGCACTGCTGAGGCGTCCCATACTAGGGCGAAACGGCCATCCAGTGCTTCCAGGTTTTCCATAGTGGTCTAGCTTCAATTGACTCATGATTTCAATCAGTGAAATCTCTAAAAATCTCCACAAAACCCCTTCTGATATTCTAAGTCTTCCAAATAAACATTAGTTTTATGTTTCGGAGATCCAGAAAATCCCTCGAGAAAAGCTCAAAGGTGCCGTGAAAACTGGAAAACATCTTATTCAATCAGCGATCAATAAAGTATCTAGGACGCAAAGTCATATTTGTGACTGAATGATTGCCAATCCTGCTACTATGTTTAGCAGGATTCCAGAAGCCCAAGGCCATCTGAAATGCTATAAATACCCTAGATTTTCTGTACATAAACTAACCCTGAAGTAAAGCGTTCTTTCCATATTATCCGTGCTCAAGTAAGAAAATTATGGACAAGTATAGAATCGAGAATCAAGTTAAAGGGAGAGGCAGTCAAGATCGAGGTGGACAGGATAAGTTGTTAGCCATATGTGGGGAAATTCTAATACTGCAATCCCACTTGAAGTTTTTGCTGAGGATATTGTTCAGAAAAAACAGTGATATCTCCACGATTAAACCGTCGAGTTCTGAGAACGAAACTCTAAAATTATCTGTGAGCTATAAATCTGCAACCCCATCTTGAAGATGATATGAGGCTCTGTTGAGCAAGGAGTTTTTCTCAGGGATTTTGAAATTCGCCTTTTCTACTTTACCGCAGCAATTTCTTGTTCAAGTTCAATATTCGTGAAAACTTTTCAACTCTCGATGATCTGTCAGGTTATAGTTTTGGTGTTAAGTTTCTATCGATGAGTCAAGGTGAATAATCACATCAGTCGAAGTTAACTATTAGAATTTATATATGGCTGAATAATAGCTTTTTTTGTCAAAAGTAATATGACAGGACTATACCATGATACATGTTCTATTGAACTGAAAATGACTATTCACCGCTCCTCTCCCATGCTAATAAGATGATCTATTAATCAATTATATAGAGATTGCAATAGTTCATTTCTTCTTAAAAATCATGGAAAGGATTGTATTTAGGAAAACAAAATCTTGATAATCAAACCATTTATTACAGAGTTGAAACCTTAACAAATTCCACTTCTTAGCTAAACATCTCCATTTTCTCAAATGTTGGTTTGATAGGGGTAATAAGGCATAATAAAAATTAAAGATAAATATCAAAGTTACTAGAAACGGTAATTCTAACAGTGGAAAATATTACGAAATAAGATAGATACAGAGGTGAGAACGTTTTGATGGTTTATTAATTATCTTATCGATCTTCAGCAGTTACCATATGTTCAAAATAATTTCCATATCACTCTTGACGTTTTACTGTTAGTGGGTAGGGCCAGAAAAACCATTTCTGAAGTTATTACTTCTTCATATTCAGTTAATTATGGTATATGGCTGTTGGATTATTGTTTCCAGTCACTTCAGATTTCTAAAAAATATGTAAAAACAATTACAATAGGTCAGTCAGTAATAATAAGCGTGAAACCTGGACTATATTGGCGACGGTTGAAGTTGGTGCACTGCATTATCACAGCGAGATGGGATCGATAACATAGACCTCAATGTAGTAGAAACGTCAGTAGTACGAAAGGTGGATTTGGAAAGAAGGTAACAAGTGATTCTGGGGCTCAAGATCTAAGAGAATACATAGAATGGATGAATTTAGACCATTTTATCCGATTATGTCCCATATTATCCACCGTCTCCAACGACTTGTTACGGTAAACGTGCAGACCCCGACCAAGTGATGCGCACCCACTCAAATTGTTCAATCAACTTGTAAATGACCTCATGGATGGATGTAACGTTTCAGTTTGACCGATTTCATCTTTGTAGCAGTCTACTTCTACGCTAGATAATATCTCCTATTGAGGTAGATCTTTCATAAGATTAACATAACCTCATTCAAACAGTTACACGTTCATTGTCTTAACTTAATGCTTACAGAGATTGTATAACTTCGTTTGTGTAACGGAAATAAACATTGTTTGTAAATACCTATAATTTCACTATCCGTTTTTAATCTGCCTTTTAAATAATTGTTATTGAAAGATAGGGTCTACATTCATTAGAAACGGGCAAAAGATCAAAATCTCTACTTCAAAATGAAGAAATCTACATTAACGTTTTTGAAAATATGATTGTTCCTGTAAATACAAGATCAATAGCTAGTTCAGTTCTTCAATTTCAAATCCAAATCCCTTTAAAAAACTATTTTGCTTCGGTTCTTTAGGAGATCAGTATAATATTTGTCAGCATTTCTGTTTTCCTCTAATGGTTTTTCTTGATTGGCTGTAAGATGTTTACGTACGATCGATTTGAAATTCCTGGTATCTCTACAAGTTGTTAGCGGAATTGTGGTCGTAATACTATTTCAAAGGATTACATTATAATTCAATTAATAAGTTTCAAAAGTTATGAATTTATCTTCTGTTGATTAGTGGATCTTTGCAACATACATGAGGTACTTTTACATATAACCATCTACTTTAACATATTTCTTAACGTCTTTTGCTTCAAATAGCCGGTGTTGGATATTCTTATTGGCAGTCTACCTGGATTTATATCTAAGACTAACGTTCAGTAAGACAATGAAAACTAAACATTTGATCTGGATTTGTTTCAACAGTTATTTCCTCAGTGTCAGTAACCGTTTTCAGTTTCGTGTAATTATGCTTCCATTACATCATAATGTTATCAATTCACAAAACTTCTGTGACAAGCAGTTGTTCTTTTTTTTTCTGTAATACAAACTATTGTCGAAACTAAGGATGTA